CGCTTGGAATATATTACTATCAAATTTGTAAGCCGCTTGCCAAAAAGATGGCAAAATATTTTGTGGATGCAACTTGTGCGAGGCGCTGTCCGCAGCAGCACCGAAAACTTTTTCTAGACCATGATTTATATGTGGTCTAGATGTATGATTAAATATGTGTGTGTGTGTGTGGGTGTGCATGTGTTTGAGTGTCTGCTGTGCAGCTGTGGCAATGCCGCGTATACGCAACGTTGCGTTGACACGTCTTGCGGTCAGGCAAAAGATAATAACAGCCTTGAGCTGGAGCTGGGGTTGGAGCTGAGACTGGGGCTGAGAGCTGAAGCCAGAGAGGGCCTAGTTTTTTCCCAGTCATAAGTCGACACTCAGTGGTATTCAAAGCGGAGCTGGTGACTATCTCGAATGCTTTCGCAGCTATCACAGTTTTTGCTGATTTTTCACACTTGCTCGGGCCCCTCGGCCAGCTGTTGTCCAGCGCCCTTGTCAGCCAGCTGGCACGCCCTTTGCCGCTTTACGCTTCTCTCACGTTTTTTTTTTATTATTAACTTTTTGTCCATTTTGGTCACGTTTGATAAGCTGCAAACAAATAATTCATGAATGGGCCAGCTGTTGCGCCTGCTGCTCGATGATTTTTAAATATGATTTGAATGAGTTTATAAGTTTTGTTTATTTGCTTAAGCATCAGTATCAGCAGCAGACGCAGCAGCAGCAGCAGTCGAATGACATTGGATGACTTTCCTTCACCCTGCACCCCTCGCTGGCTGTGCGGGGTTGATTCAATTCAATTTGATTGATGTCTTTGCTTGCCAGCGTTTGTAGACAGTCATTAGCTGCGCCTTCTCTACTGGCGTTGTCTGTGCTCTGTGCTGTCCCAGCCCAGCCACGCCCCTCGCCCTGTCCGTTGGCAGTGAGTGGCGCTGACAGCTTGCCAAATTGTCTGCTAAAACTCTCAGCTCTCGCATAGCAACTGATATATTACTATAAACGGCTCTTCGCATTGCAGCATTAGCATCTACATACGAGTAGACCTCAATCTGAACTATAAATATTTTACATTATATTTCTATTGATTTACAGTTGGTTCATGTTATTCCATTTTACTCTTGTGTTACGTTTTGCCTGGTTGATATTAGAGATATCTAAACATATATATATAATACATAAAAATGTATATAATATTTCTATTATATTTATATTATTTAAGATACGATTTTTTATGATATTTATGACTCGGACTGTTATGTGATTAAAATCAATTATAATATCAATCATACCATCATCAACTAGGCAAAGAGGCTATCGAAACAAGCAATATAATAAAAGTCTTGAAGAAAACATGTTCAGTGTTTAGCTCTTAAAGTTTCTGAAATGATGTATTCATAAAGCAGACGATCCAGAAGCCAGATTAAAAAGCTGAAGAACGGATGGATTGCTAGACATATGGATAGATAGTTTCACAAGGAGCTAAATCGCTTCGGCTGTGTATGCTAATCAGAATTGATTGTTGTCATTTTAATAATCTTTTTATAGCAACTCAATGTGAACAGTCATTATCCTGGGCATATCTGTTACAAACCTACCTATGGCCTAATCTATACATTTCTAAGCTGAGCTTTGGCATAGATAAAATAAAAGTTGGACCTATAGTTGATAATAAGCAAACCATAGGAATGCAAAAAAGGTTGAATGTCAATACAAGTTTCAAGTTCTTAATTTTAATATATATATAAATAATTCCATATAAATGGAGCCACAGAGCCGCTCAATGAGACCTTAACCAAGTTAACTTGAGTTAATTCTTAGCCACTGAAAGCAAACCTTAAACCATCCAATAAAGACTTTTGCTTGAGGCTGGGCGCTTGATAAACTATGTTAGTCAACATGACAAAGAGGCAGAAAGAGAGTGAGAAAGAGAGGGAGAGCGAGAGCGAGAGAGCGAGCATAAAGTAAAGTCGCAGCCACATGCGGTCGCGGTCATATTTGGCTTATTATAAATGACTGAATGTGAACTGCCTGTCATGTTTTATCTTTATTTTCGTGCATTTCTGGACACATTTCACTGGGACTAGAAGGCGCTGCAGATGGGGGCGTGGGGACCGTTGCTGCCGGCGTGTCTGCACATTTTCAACATTTTCCGATGTTGTTTTTTTTCGTTCTGTCAGCTTCTTGTTCTCTTTGGCCAGGCACAATGTGATGATAATGGCGCTTGCAGGCCGACTGACGTTTCTAACAAAGTGAGTCGCATTAAGGATAATCGAGGCAAGTAAAAGCAAAGCCAACAACAACAACATGAAACAAAGCAGAGACAGCGACAGCGACAGCAACTGCTGATGGGGCTCGATTTGCGCGTCATTATCCTTGCAGGCAGCCAAGTGTCCATTGTGGGTGTGTGTGTGTGTCTGCTGTATGGCCGCCAGGCCTGAATGTCCATCAAGAGCGAAGACGCTGCAACGCCTTGCGCCCATTGCCCTTGCCTTGCCGCATCCTGTGCCTGACATCTTCGTCGTCATCGCTCGGCGTTACGAATGATTTATGGCCGACGACTCAGTTCGAGCTGAAGAGCAGCACAACCCTCTGGCATGCTGTGAGAAGCGCTCTGCAATTGACAATTGTCCTAGCCAGGACCCAGCTAGAGTCCTGGCCAGCTACCTAGTCGATGGCTAAACAAATATTTATTAAGCAAATTAAAGGCGCGCCAGCAAATCCCGCGAAACAAATGACTCGAGCTTTTCCTTCTGCCCGATGATGGGGCACTTTGCTGTAGTGCTCTAGCCTTTGGCCAGCCGAATTATGCGCTCTAACGCCCCGATTCTCATTAGTCAAAGCCATTCTGCTTTGAGCCCAATTTCAGCCAGAGCCAAGCAGCACTTGGCTCCGGCTCAACCCAAGCCGACTTGCGTGTCCTTTTTTCGGCCACAAAATTATCAAAATTAAATGGAATACCTCACGTGCCATATGCAATGTGGCAGCTGCTGCTGTCTCGACAGCCATGATGCCAAAAAAGTTTAAGAAAAACTACTTTAAAAACTGTAGCCCATACGCACCTCACAGGTGCGAGCGGGACAGCAGCAGTGCGACTTGCTCTCATTAAATAATTAAAGTTTTTTCCCCATTTTGGTTATTTCTGTTGGCTCAAATCACACTTAAGAGCTCCTCTGCCATAAATGCGTTGTCTGCACGTACCTTGCATCTGGCCTTTCGCATGCACAATCCTTCGCCTTTCTTTCGGCTTATTGCTAAGATTCTTTGATAGTCGAACAGTTCACTTTTAGGGGTGAAAGTAGTTGGATACTGAGAAAAGATCACACGCAATAATCAATGGAGAGCTGAAGTATGAAGAGTTGAAGTGGACTACGGAAAGAGATTAGCTAGAAGAGGTGAATAGCATCTATTGTTAGCTGCCTGGTATCTCTTATGTTGCCTTGATACCTTATATATATGCCTGGCTTACTATTGTATATAGTATATATGTACACCTTTATCTTTATCTTTGTCGTATTTAAGCTTTGACACCTATAGCAAGCCATATTGTATGGCTAATAGGAGTTTATTCCACACAATCGTCATTATTAAAGGATCTTAGGAAAGTCTTATCACTATCTTCCTTTAACATAACATTTTTCCTATAATTAATTTTTAATTAAATAATTGCTGGACGCTTACATCACTATAATTTAAATATAATAATATAATAATAAATAATTTTCATATACTGTATTTAAGTTCAAATGAAGAATATTTCACAATTGTCCTACGAAAAGGTTTCTGGATACAAAGCAACTTATATGCTTCCACGGAAGTGCTCCTTCGCGCAATGAGCTTCAATTTGTACAGACTTTATTTTAATATAATATATAAGCGCAGCAAGTGCACAGAGGGAGCTAAACTGTCGCTCTTTCAACTCCAATTCCAAATACAGATCTTTACAGTAATGATTGCTGATAATGTATAACAATATATAATTCATATTATTTCATGACGTATTTTAAATGTTGATATCAGAAAACTTAACATGATAGAGCAAACTTTATTGTATTTTTTAACTAATTTTATTATTTTTGTTTATTTTTTCATTCAGCTTAATTTGTTACCTCTTCTTGTCTTAGAGTCTAACCGCATTTAGCTCAAAACCTTAACTAACATCTTAAGTTTAGAATTATTTATCCCTTATAATATTATATTCTTCATTATTTCAAGATTCTTCGCCTATTGTTATTTTGCCAGATTAGATGCGAGCTGGTTTGGATGCGCCGTCAATTCTCGTATCTAGAGCTGTGCCGGCAATTGAGTTGTGCATCGCTTGATCCTTCCTCACAAACCATTTTCATTTTCTTACAGAATTTGAGTCTTATTATTGTCTGTGATATTAAAGATTTATAATTTAAGTTTATTTAGATATATGTGTGGGTGGATTTAACTATATCCATATCATCCTTAGATTCAAATTTACAGTATATATAACTCGGAAAGCCCCAAGCCTTCCTCAGTTTTAGAGTGAATTGAATCACTGCTGACCTCTTCCACAGATGAAAATCTATAAATTATAAATATGTAACAAATACGTAAATAAATCTTGAGTTTGTTATAAGTTGAAGTGTTTTTGGATAATGAGCGAGTAGCATGCAGTCAGTCGGTCACCATTTAATTCATTTCAATGAATTATAATTATTTAAATATATGTCTGATATTAAAAAGTAATTTTGAGACCTATAAATCTCTCTAGGTATCTGCTGTCTTTCCTACCTGTTCACTTCATTGATGCATATTTTTACTACATTTTCTTCTGTGCATTTTCGTGGAGAAACATTGAGTTAACTCGCTCAGATTGTTTCACTATAGCGTGAAGAATGGTAAATAGTTTCACAGCTTAAAATGCTTTGCTGCTTTGTTGTCAGCCCAGAAGCTAATGAGCGTGCTATCGAGGCGTGGTATCTAAAATTAAGTCCCATTTTCTTCATAGCAAGAAAACAACTGTGCAAATATTTAAACGAGTCCAAAACAACATTTCGACTTCTCGCAGTTGACTCAGAATGATCTCAATTCAAACCCCAAACAACTACCAACTGCCGCGTGCGAAACGAAAGAATTTAAAAATGTTCAAAGCTCAGTTAGCCAAGGTTCTATTTCTCGGAGCGCTGCTCTTTGTGGGCAGCCAGGCGCAGCCCCTGCGTGGACGCAAGCGCGCCTTTGGTAAGGGATCGCCTGTCTCTGTCTATTCCCAGCTAAACCTTTACTCTCCTCTCCTCTGGCAGGCGTGGGTCTGCTGGGCGGCGCCTTGGCGGGCGCGGTCATTGGCAATGCGGTGGCCAAGGCGCCTGGCTCATCCAAAGCTGCCGCTCCAGCAGCTGCGCCGGTCGCTCAGGTGGTTGAGACCGGTGTGCCCGATGCCAATGGCTGCTACAAGCAGACGATCAAGGAGCCCGTTGCTGGCAATACCAAGCTCTACACGGAAACGGTTCACCTGGTCTGTCCCCCTAAAATGCCAGCAGCTACTTCACCCCCTGCGATACCGGTGCCCGTGCAAGTAGTTCCAATGGCCCATGCCCCAGCAGCTTCAGTGTATCCTGTGCTACCAGCTCCGGCTCCTGTGGCTTCTCATGTGGTGGCAGCCGCCGTTCCTGCTGCTGTCGTTAATCACACTTCAAATGCTAACGCCACGCATGCTAATGTAACTCATACCTTTACCAACCTGGGACATCCCGGCCCAGTTCCAGTTGTTGTCCCAGCTCCTGCTGCTGCTCCAGTTGCAGCTGCACCAGTAGCTCCACATTCGAGTGTAACTTTTGCTTATGCAGTTGATCCCAGGTCACAGCCCGCACAGCCTGCGCAGATGGCTCCGCAGGGTACAGCCCATGTGATTCTACTTTCGAAAACCGTGAAGAAGCAGAAGTCCGCCGCTAATACAATAAATATTTCACAGGGTTTATTAATTCTGGTGGTTCTCTACTGCCTTATAAGCAAGTAAATTATAAATGTGCAACACTGACAACTTAACAAATAAAGAATGTAGAGAAAAATTAACATAAAGTAACTTTAAGAACTTAATATAACATCTAAATTTACAACGTTTAATTACGAATTTTTAAAGATTCAAATTTCCCACTCAGTCAAATTCACGTGTGTTGAAAATTGCAGCCAACTTAACGATTGAGCGCAACTTTGCGCACAACCAACTTCACTCGGCGCAATGCTGTTAACGTATTGTTAACAATAACAGTGAAAAATAGTTACACACACAGATGGCGCAAAATTACTGGTTGTATGAATTGCGCCCTCTGTTGAAGATTAACATAAAAAGTATCACACTCAATTGGCACTGTTTACATACTATTGTCTACTATTGTATGTGGTATTATTATACAGTTGACAAACGGTCACGCGGTATCTGACCGGCGTCGTTTCATTGTTTGCGTTGTGAAATTCGCGCAATTGAAATTGTCGAACAAATTACATTTAACAATGAGCACATGGAATCCCGATCAGGATGTTGAGCTAACCGACTCCGAGGATGAGATTGCAATGAAACGCGATTTTAATGGACGCGAAGCAATACTTTTTGTTGTAGACGCGAATCTAGAGGTAAACCGCAATACATAAAAAAAATTTAAATATCAAAAAGAAAATTTTTCAGACAGAACGCTTCATGGACGCGCTTAAGCTAATACGTGGTGCTTTCATCTCCGGCATGCTGGTAAACGGCAAGGACCTAATGGGCCTTATCTTCGCCAACACCAAGTACAGTCCCCCTCCGAAGGAGATACAATGCCTGGAGAATATAACGGTATCGGCGAACTGCGCTGTGTTCCTGCCGTTGCGCCAGTTGACAAAGGCCATAGTGGAGCACTTTATGGATTTCATGCAGCAGGCCGAGGAGCTGTTCCCCAAGGAATACGGCCTGGCCGAGCCCGATGGTCGGGGCAGCTTTGCGCAGATGATCCGTCTGTGCATCGAGATGCTGGAGAAATGTGGAAAGAAGCTGAACAATGCAAAGATCGTGTACATCACGGACGTGGAAGAGCCGCATTCCCCGTCCAGCCCAGAGTTTCAAAGGGCACTACAAAAGGCCAGCGATCTGGATGGCAAAGAGTTTGAATTTCAGGTGATTCCCATGATCGATGACTTTGACTATGAGCCCTTCTATAAGGAATTCATAACGCTGTCGAGAGGTAAGTGAAAAGCTATTCTGCTCAAGGCATACTAGGCGAGGTATAGGCGACATATGTTCCCCTTGCTGGCGTGCAGCTCTAGCCAGAAAGGTTTCAAGGTGTCGCAGAGTAAAAAGCAAGTGTTTCACTCGCCTCCAATCGAAGTTATATTGGATGCGCTTTCGAGCTTGCTCACAATAGTCCTAACTATACGTATATATGATTGTTCAGAGAGTAGAATTAACAATTTACGTATGTTTATAATAGCATTTGTTTCCTTTTGTAGCCATCGAATTAGACGCATTCCGCGTGCCGGACGCGCAGCTGCAGCGCGAGATTCTGGAGGATCGCAAGTTGCGGCAAGATTTTCTGCGTCGCTGCCTGGGTCACTTTACGCTTTCGCTGGGCCCCAATCTATCTTTATCGGCGCAGTATTACAACTACTTCCAACGCCGCGCTTATCCACAGAAGGTGCACATCATGCGACGCGATAATAGCGTCGTCCGTAAACGGCGGCAGATTATGGTGCGCCAGCTGGATGGGGAGACTGAGGAGATAACGCATGAGTATCAAATCAAGATGACGGGCGGCTGGCACGAGTGTAAGATAGGCGACGAGGTGATTCGTGTTACCACCGAGCAGCTGAATCGCGTACGCAATCTGCATCCGCCTGGAATGATGCTGCTGGGCTTCAAGCATCGCTCCGCGCTGCCTGCTAATATATACAGCAAGCCGTGCAACTTTATGTACCCGGACGATCAGAATATCATTGGTTCTAAGCGCCTGTTTCGCGCACTGTGGCAGCGTTGTCTGGAGCGCGAGAAGATTGCGATTTGTCTTTTCATGTGCAAGCGCAAGTCCGTGCCACGCTATGTGGCGCTGCTGCCCGTGGAGGCGGCCCAGCCGGATGACAAGAACTATCGCTCGCTGCTGTCGGGAGATGGCTTTAAGATCGTCTACTTGCCGGAGGCCAAGCATATACGGCACATAGACATGTGCGACTGGAACAGCACGGGCAACACATCAACGGATGAAGGGGTTGGCTTTTTCCAGAAAGTGATCCGGAAGCTGAGCGTTGACTATCAGCCAAATCTCATCAACGATCCCAATCTGGAGGTGCTGCAGTCCAATCTGCTGGCTCTTGCCTTGGACTTCAAGACCGAGGACGATGGTCTCAGCCAGCTGCCCGATCCTGCGATGCAGAACAAGCGCATCGAAAAGCTGCTGCCCGCCTACGAGACATTGTTTGAAGCCGAAATAGAACCGGCTAAAAAGCGTGCGGCCAGTTCCAACTCCAACGAGGGCAGTGCGCCAAAAATAGCTAAGATTGAGGAGGCTCAACTCAAAAGCTACGACTTCGTGGAGGAACTGATCAAGGATAAGCGGCTGGGGGCTTGCACCGCCCAGCAACTGCGCTACATACTCGATGAACATTTCGGCGTAAAGCCAGCCAAATCCAGTACCAAAGCTGCTCTCATCGAACGCATCGAGTCGTTGAGCGAATAATCTTCTGTGAGTTGATGTTAAATGGTCAAAGGTGATCGTAGAAGTGTCATATGTTACTAGTATTAAGGATTGTTGAATTACAACACAAACAGTGAATGCATTGTTACAAGCATGAAGCACAGCAAGCTGTGAAACCAATAAAGTTGATCAGATTTATATTTATTGAAATGCAACCTACAGTCGGTATATAGCCTAAAAATATTTATTTTTGTTTACGTTTGCATAATTGACTATGTATAGAAATCGCCTAAAGGCTCTTGGACTAGCTAAGGCTATATTTCTAGACTTCCACAATAGCCTTTATATAGAGCATTAAGTTCATTTTCGCGGTTGCCGGACATGGTTTATTTCTTCAGTCAGCGTAAATTGCATAATTTGACTCTTAACCTGAATAAGAGCAGATGTCGTTACGGTATGAAGGAGCTCGCAACTTTTCGGCGACTTTTGGCCCAGGTAAAACTTTGCACTCGCCTTTGTCCGAATCATGAAACAACCGTCAAAAGGTGAAATGCTGCAACGTTTGCGTCAGTTGTTGTGTTCCTCGAGTACAAAATGAGTTAAAAAATTATTAAAAGTGCAAAAGAAGTGGGAGGCGAAGCGAAGGCGTGCGTACGCACTTGCAAACAGTGCTCTGTAAAAAGGTAAAAGTTGCAGCACGGAAGTTGCGATTTGGCCCAGCTTTGGCGTTGGTTCTGGCCAACTTCAAGATGGCCAACACGAAAGTGGTCCTCGTCTTACTTTCTTGGCACTTTATTTTAATTTCTGCGGCGCCGCGGCTTGTTCTAAACTTTCTCTCTATTCTGCTGCCACTTTTCTATGCTGTGCAGAGTAACTTGTGGTTAAGTAGAAATTACTTTACCATGCGGTTAGCCAATACCCTGATGAAAACTGTCAAAAGGGTGCATTGGTTGGACAGTGATGTAGCAACTGAATGTAATTGTAATCTCAAATTATGTCGAAGATATTCTGTATATATCCTAAGGAATACTGTCAACAGCAAGTGCTCAGTCCGTGGTCTCCTCGTACATAGATAGTTGTTCAAAGGATTATTTGCGATCTATTATAAACTACGATTTTTATTCATAAATCTCAAGTCTTACTATTCAATAACTTAATTTTTAAGGGATATCAAAGATATCAGGATTTTTTTGGACAGTTACTTGGTCAGGGTGTGCATTTCCTTAAGCACATTACCTGCTTGCTGGTAAATTTCCAGTCCCTTGAGATGGGGATGCTTTCTTAGATACTTCTTTAACTTCGCCTGCTGCTTCGTTAGATACCATGAACTTTCTGCCAGAAGGAGCTGATACTCCCGAATGAGCTTCATGTGCTCGATTTTGCGATCATCAGGTGCAGATTTGTGAATCGACTTGATAAGTCGCTGCTTCTCAGAGCTGATCTGATGCACATGAAACTCCTGCCGACTCAGCATAAATAGCATTGTGTGCACAAGATATTTCAAGTTACGCTGCTGTTCCTCCCCCATCTTATTCTATATTTTTTTAATTACTTTTTATTGAGAACGTTAGAAATGCTAAATTACAGAAAAACTGATAGAAAAAAACAAAGGAGTTCTTAAAATACGGCTCATAGCCTACTTTCCCTGTAAGAATCAAACAGGAACACAAAATGCTAGGTGGAAGCAGCTCCAGCAAACAGAAGAATTCAGCTATAACTAAGCCAGGTAAAATTTGATTCAGTTCAACTGCAGTTGAGCTTTAGAAAAAATTTAATTTCTTATTGAAGCACACTTTGAGAAGTGTGTTTAAGACTCAAAAAGAAGTACTTAAATGGTTTCATAGATCAAATACATCAAATTCTTATTCTTGCCTAAACAATATTTTTTCTAATAGTTGTTTCAATCAACCTATCCGACCACACAATGTGAGCTTTATTTTGATATTTATGCAAAGTAATCATTTTACTAATTACTTAACGACAGCTTTCTCCACCTTGCCACGTGAAACCGCACAGCACGCAGAGTTGGCTCCAAATGCAGTAAATAAATACAAGAAACAAACACAATGACCGCAAAAAACACAAACACTGACGTTAATATGAATATATATTTGTAAGTGTGGGTGTGTGTGTGTGTGTGTGCACTTCAATTGGGTCAAGCGGAAGTGACGCTGAAATTCATTTCCGCTTAAATTACACATGAGTGAGAGGGGAAGAGAAAGAAAGCGGATAGAGACTCTCTGACAGTGCGAAGAAATCAAGTTTATATAAACAAATAACTAAGGAAATAAGCCAAAAATGTTGAACTAATGATATTTCAATTTAATAAGCGGCTAATAAATTTAATTAGCCATGAAAACGCCAACTCATCACAGTAAGTGTTAGTGGAGAATCTTCACTTTGCAGAGTAGTAAAACATATTTTTAATTGGCCCACTTCACAGCTAAAGACTCTAATTAAAGGCGAGCCGAGCTGCTCGAGCAGTGAATGTATTTGCTCTAATGCGCAGCTCGAGTCACATGTATTTGGCCATTAATCATCATTTTATTTATCTTTCGAATTTAACTCGGCATTAATTTCAATGAAAATAACCAAAACATGCTTAGGCCTTTGCCATGGACTGGCCTCAGATAATAATTTTGTGTCAATTAATTACAATTACCCTGTAGCTGGCCGGTAATTGTGCAACTTTGTCAATTGAACAGACACAACACATAGGTAAAGCGCCATGCAACAGCCCGAGGATAGCAGACAATGGTAATCCAATGTGTATGTGCGTGGGAGTATGTGTGTGTGTGGATGCACTTGTGCGTGTTTCCGTAGCTGAAACAAAAGACAAAAATATTTGTCAAGGGTATTTGCTCAGAGTGGAAGCCGTAATGTAGACAAACTATGTCCACAAAATTGTAGAAAGTTTAAATTTAATCAAGTTGCTTGCCCTGGTGCCCCGTGGCGTATGCGTCATAAATGTGGCTATAGACATAAATTTAATATCACCTCAAAATACAAGCAGCACTCAACTCAGCTGAGTCAACAGACAAACAAAAGACAACAAAACATATCTCATGTGCCCTACACAGTGTGTGTGGGTGTGTATAAATTGGTCATTTAATAGCAAACAAAGCAGAGAAGCGAGTTGCTCGAGTATTTAGTTAACTAACTGGCCTTAAATTTAAGTTACAGCTCGATTGCTAAGTAACTGAGTGCGTGTTCTTAAATTGTATTTTGTCTCGTCTCGCACATCTTTTCAAATATTTGCTGGGCATAAAAAATCCTTTTTGAGCTGCTTTTCGATTAGAAATACTTTAGATAAAAATCATTTGCAGCTAACATATGCCATACAAGTACACATGCATACAAATACGTAAGCTGCCTATAGACTGCTTAGATTAGATGCGTCTTAGGCACACGAGCATAAAAGCTTACAGCACGGCTTAAGTCGCGTCTCGAGGTAGCAGACGGACGTGTTGCCTACTTATCGCCGTGGAATATACATATATGCCTGCACTAAGGCATCTGGTAATTTGAATAAATTGTATGAAAATCGAATTTTAAATTATAGAAATCTAAAATATCAATCAATAATACAGAAAAATTAATTTACTTTGATTTTTACCTTCATCTTTGATATTTTTAGCTAAAGCGAAGTTGGCAGTCTGTGCTTTATCTTTATTTTATGTCGATCTGGGCTCGTCAGAAACTTTGTCAGCTGCTGCTGCTGCTGAATCATCCGTATTTACATAGCTCCTAATTTGTGTGGCTTGAATGAAAGCCAAACCACAAGCGCACCACCCAACCACCGACTTGCGGCTGTCAACGCAACGTCGCCTGCCTAGCAACTGCAAATGACTGATACATGTGTGTGTGTGTGTGTGTGTGTGTGCGTGTGTGTGTGTGTGTGATGTGTGTAAAGATGAAAACATGGGATAGCATAAGAAAAAAGCGCAGCAAAGCGTTAAGCCGTTGGCGGTTGCGTTAAGCAACAGCTGCTGGCGACACCTTGCAAGTGTTGTAAAGTGTCGGACGGCAGGAGAGAAATGGAGCAAAGCGTCACAAGGCTGACGTTGCTAATGCCACAATATGCGAGTGCAACCGCTGTCTATGTGTGCGCTGTCGCTTAGGATACACACACACAATCGCACACACATGCATTGTGGTTAAGCAATTTGCGCCAAACGAAATGAAAGTTCTAAGCGCATTGGCCGTCCCATGTATTTACACACACACACACACACACATACACACGACAAGTCTCAGTTACCCAAAAGGAAAAGGAAATGTTAAAAATGCAAATCGTTAATAGCAATTGTTAATTAAATGTAAAAATTATATTTCATATTGCCTAACGCATTCCTTTTTCACTACTTCGTAAGGCCGAATTTCGTATGCATCGGGTCTTGCGTTTTATGCTGTATCAGTTTGTGATTGTCATATGATCGTATAATAAATAATATAAATAATCATTTATAAATTTCATTATATTTTTTTATATATATATATTCGAAATAAAAAAACATGCAGCTGACAGCTGTGCTTTTTGCATGCCATCAAGTCCTGTTGGGTGCTATCGGCTTGTGTGCACCAGGTGCGATATGGCAAAGCTGTCATATAACTGCTTGTCTGTCTGTCTGTGTGTATGAGTGTCCCTGTGTGCCTGTGTGTAGCTGTCGGTTGGTTTTTTGTAGCTGCTGTTTTGCGGCTTGCGCTAAATTTCATAATTTTTGCTGCTCTGACTGCTCCTGCTACTCCTGTTACTCCTGTTACTCCTATTACTCCCTTTCCATTCCCGCTCCTACATGTCTCTCAGTCACGTGTCATTCATATCATATCGCACAATAAACAAGACCGGGCGGCAATGACCGACCAGTCCATGCCGACGCCCTGCTGCCAGCCGCTATCCAGTCCTGTCCTGGCCGTATCCTGCTGCTGTTGCTCCGCTCTTGCTCCTAGTGCTGCTTCTTGTTGGCATGGTGCATCGCTTGTTGCTAGGTTCGCCAGATTTCGATTTATTTTTATGTGCACTTCCTTGTGCACTTTGCATTGCGATTTTTTATTTTTTATATTTGTTGCTTTTTTGTAGCTCAACCCTCGGACTTGTTAACTGAAAATATTTTCTCATGCGTAAAATGCATGACAAGCGATGCAGACAGAGACGTTGACGCATTGAAATCCCAGCTGGGTGGTTTACTGGATGCTTAGGTAGCCCGCTTTGGCTGCCAAATTGTCTGGCTTTGCAGTGGGCCAAGCGGGTGGCAGGAGAACAGAGGCGGCATGTGCTCTGTCAGGTGTGTTTAGCGCGCAGGTGTATCGATTTGTTATACGCGTGAACTTGATGAAGTGTCGGGCAATCTGGCAAATACTTCACATGGGGTTGCAAATAAAAGAAAACGAGTTCAAAGCGTTCACTCTTGGGGTTGAATAAATTGTGAAGCAGCTCGAAAGTCTGCAGCTCCCAATAATAAACAAAGAAATAAATGCTACACTTAATTTGTGTCAGCATTTGATGCTTTAGTTTCCAGTTGACAAGACTTAATCGAGTCGTAACGCAAGTTCTGATTGAGGCAAAGGCCCACATCCTCCTCTTCTGCATCTATATCTTATCTCAATATCTTATCTGATTGCTTATAGAGTAAGTTAACTTGTCTTAAGGTTTTAAGTAAAAGTTTCATTATTTCCTCATTTCAATTTTGCAAGCATTTTACCGCTAAAAAATTGTTATAGAAATCAGCATAGAATCCATACCTATATATTTTCCATATTAGCATATTTCCGCCATTTAATTAAGCATCAGACAGCAGCTGAGCTGAAGTGAAGTCAGGCAAAGCTTTTGTTGAAACTCCGTTTTCACAGTAATTGATCGGAAACGAAAACAAAACCATACAAAACAAACTTAAATAAAAACATTTAATTAAATATGCAATGTGAATTAGCCTATAAAAGGAAAGGAGAAAACAAAACGGAAAATCAACAGCCAATTGCCAGCACAATATCAATGGATAAAATATGCAACAACAACAAACAGACAATTGAAACTTTGCTTGGAATATTTAAACAATGCTGAAAAAGCGAAATGCAAAAAAAAGTTGAGTCCGACTGATATAAACAATTATTAAAAGCAACCCACAGTCGCTGCTGGGGCAGGCACCAGGGCAGACTGGGCTGCTCCGTGAACCCAGCAATATACATAACAATGGCGCAGCGGCTGCTGATTGTGGGCCCTCTTTCTCCATGCTGGACACACGAGTCCCCTTTGGCCAAATAATTAAGCCTGCCATTCATTAACCAAACTTGGACCGGGGCGTTACAACACAACTGAGCAAAGTTGCGGCCACTTTTGTTGCATGGTGTAATGCAAAACAAAAGTTTTTTATAGAGGTGTGTGTGTGTGAGGGAATGTGTGTGTGTGTGTGAAATCAGCAAATCAGGCAAAACGGCACAATCGACAGCTCAGACATGCTGTGTGTGTATGTGTGAGTGTGTGGTTGTGTTGCACACTTCCAGCCAGCCACCCATTGACCGGGTCGAATTAATTGTAGCCATCGGCCCATTTGGCAGTTTTTGGCCAAGTTAAAGGCAAATTGCAAGCTGGCGCTTAACTTGGCTTCGCAATTGCTTGTGAAATAAAACAAAAATATGTGCACCACATATAACTGTAGCTATGTATGTATGTGTGTGTGTCAATGTAAGCGGATGTGTTTGCGGCTTGTGGCACACTCACATATTTATAGAACCCTCCAAAGACTGATTAGAAACGGGTGGGAAGTGCTTTAATTATCAAATTTCTTTGCAAGTGTGTGTGTGGCGTGGGCCCAAGCGCATGAACTTTTCAAGGGCAACGAAGCAGAAATAAAAAAGGCCAAGTAGTTGGCAGTTTAAATGGCATTTGGGTTTCTTTATTGAGCGAAATTACAGAGAGAATTATATTAGTATTATATAAATGAGAGCTTGAGCTTGTTGTGTTAAGCCTTGGAGCTCCACAAGGAAAAATCTTGTTTCGAACATATTCGAACCGAGTTAAGTTGAACTGTGTTAACTCCTCATTTTTACTTTTACTATCTATGGATAAATGGAAGACGGAAACTTAGTTAGTATAGGTTTTTTTATTTTTTTATTTCTTCCTTTTTCAAATTTTTTTTATTTTCTTTACAAATTTGCAACAATTTTTCCTCAATTTGGCAACACATTCATATATTGCCCACAGCAAAAATTTTATTCAGGAAAAATAGAGAAACAGAGAGAGAGAGAGAGAGAAGAGAATAAGAAAGAGGAAAATTCTTGTGTAAATGCAACACTTGACGGGACTTTAAGTAGCCGCTGGAGAGTTGACCAGCACAAGTTTTGAAATTTTCAAAGGCTTGACGAACAAAACGTTGAATATGCAATGGCAGAAGCAAGGGCAGAGCAGGCCCAGTGGGGTGCCCAAATGGGGACGCATTGTGCAAAGGCGGTCAAGAGTTTATCAGGAGCAGAAGGACAAGCAAGAGCTTGACATTTTGCTTAGCTCCCAAATGAGCAACAAATAGTGGGTAAGTGGCACAGTGGAGACTCGTGTAGGTGGCTGCCTAGATAAGCAAATGCGCATTGCAAAATGTTCAATCATCCTAGAGAGAAGCCCGAGCGGCAGTTATTAATGCCACGTTATCAGCAGCGCGTCTCCAACTGTTGGCCATTACTCGCATCTCCCATCTCCCATCTCCCATTGCTTATAAATTTCAATGTCCTGTGGCAACAAAAACAACCGCTGCACCAGCTGGAGCATTCTGCCCCAGCAAAAGCCAAAAAATTAGCATAATTTCAGTTGCTGTGGCGAGCACTTGCAACACTTGCGGCCACAGATAAGGCGCAAAATGAACGCGACTCGCTGTGTGTATGTTGCATCTCTCCTTGTTTCTGCCTGTGAGTGTGTGTGTCTCACTTGTTATTTCGGCTGCATCGTGTTAAACTTGCGTCATATGTGTGCCACAGGCTGCTGCATGTGAGTTTTTTGCGCTTGGCCATGAAGTTGTTTTGGCTTCTTGCGCCATGCGACACAGTTGCCAACACTGGCTCACTAAAGCCAGCGCACTCGCGCTGGCATATCATTTGCATAAATGTACAGCGGCGCTGCGTTGCATGCATCCCCAAGATCCTGAACAATGCATCTTTTGGGGCAAGCAGAATTGTGTTTGCTATGCTTAAATGCTGAGAGAGATAGAAAGAGGAAGAGAGCGAAAGTTGAGGGAGAAAGAGAGTGAGAGAGGGAAAGAGAGTGAAAAGAGAGAGGGAGAAAGTGAGATTGAGAGAGAGAGAGGAAGAAGCTGAAAAAGAGAGTGAGAGATTGAAAGACAGAAGGAAAGCAGAGTGAATAGGGAAAGGAAGAGAGATAAGAGCGAGAGAAAAAGACATAGAGACACAGATTATTTATATGATTATCAAACAAGATGGATACTATTTCGATAGCTTTATTTGAGCACCCGCTTAGATATCATTCCATGCTAAAGTAGATAATTTAGATTACATCCTCAGAGAACCAAACAAAAGATCCTTAAATTATTCGAATGGAGGCCTAGCAGTCTGATATTGTCTACTCATTAGACTTTCGAAAAACATTGAAAACAAACTTTTTCGGTTCAGTAGAAAATTCAGCACCAGAACTACCATGTCCCGAACAGAAGCGACAATTGGCAATACACTTCGGTACCCCATACGCGTAACTGAACAACTTCCCAGTACCTTTATGGCCACCATGATGATGGCGACGACGCCACAGGCCATGCAAGACTTACTGGCCCCCAAGATGAACACAGGCAGTATTCGAGAGTACAGCCAGGTTGGGGACGGTGTGCACTTAAGGCAGCTCCCTCTTTTGCTATTACCATTGACGGCGGAGCGGGCCCCACCACGTCCACAAATGGTGGTGCGTAAGGTCTCAGTGGTGGGCAGCCATGTGTTGCGATATTTGAGCCGGTCGAACAATATCTCGCCGAGACGCCCTCAGCTCCACAACTATCTGCATGCGAATGCTCCACTCATCGATCAGAACATAAGCCACAGGAGCACCTCCTACTACGATCTGCCCGATGATTATATCCCCTGGGTGGGGGGCTATGCAGAGCCCCAATTAGAATCTGAATCGGGGTCGTTACGCATTCAGCCGGAGTCTTATAGGATGCGCCAGATGCTGCCTTCCAGCCTTCCATCCGATGACAGCTCCTTTCTGGGGAAGTTGAATTGGAAAGTTTATTTGGGCATGCTTTGTATCATAGCCATGCAGGCTTTGCTAAAACTGGCATTTCAGCAGATCTACTTGAGTTGAGATCTAACCTGTTAGTAGGACTTGGTAGCGTTGCTAATATCAGATTATTGTCAGATATCAAATTCATTCAAAAACTGCAAAATTTGTTTTAACCAAAAATCAATTGCCAAACAACCGGACTTACATGAAAAGAAATAAAAGTGAGTCTGGAACTGTCGCCTTCCCTTATTTAAGAAACGAAGCTAAACAATGTACATAGAACGTGTTAATAATTCTGATAGTTTCAATATGGTTTCACTGTGTGGCCCAAATTAATGTACAGTAAAACCTAATAAAGGAAAGCGTTTAAATATATAAAAGTAATGCAACATCTCCAAGTTTATTTTTAGCTTTAACAAAATGCTGACCAGCTGTGTAAGCGCAGGTTCTTTGGGAGTGCTTTGACTTCGCATATCATCGCGCTGTCGGTTCACTTTCATCCAATTAACTTTCTGGCTTGCGCATATGCGCATATGCGCATATTCATATTACTTATTCATATCGATGTATATTGCGCTTATTAAACGCTTCGGCTCGCCTGCAAGGACTGGCGGGTGGTGCGAGTCAAGTTCAGTTAACATGAGAGGGGGAGCATGCGAGCAGAAACAATTCATTTGCCTGCCACTCAGATTCTCAGCTGCTTATTCCCAAAGCTGCGTCATCCTGTTGTGCGTGTGTGTGTATGTGTGTGTGTGTTTGTGTGTGTTTGTGTGTGGGTATAGGTGGCACACACTTGCTTCATAATTCAAAGTGGCAACACTTTTGCCAGCAACTGAAAACTCAGCTCGACACACACCGCCCCGCAGGAGAGAATGAATGATGGAAATCATCTCCCCAGGCACTTGGCCCCGACAATCTAATACGTGATATACAAAACAGACACCACTGCGATCCGAAATGAATTGAAATGTCAGCAGGCAGCCGGTATGGAAGCATGAAGGGCTGAAAGGCTGAAGAGCTGTGGAGTATTTGTTTTTTTTTTTCGTGTGCTGCAGCACTTGCAGTAGTCATTAATAATTGCAGGCGCCACATGGGGCGTATGAGCAACTTGGCTAGCAATTTACTTTGATCAACTCAATTGCTGACATCAACAATAAGCCACGCCCGGTGCACATTTATATTTTGTGGGCAGCACTTGACACTAATTAAAATTTCAATGCCAGAGCATTCTTGACTGCTGCTGCTCAAATGAAGCATTTCGTTCTACATGCCCCGGCATGCATTCACCTGCTCCTGTCAAGCATTGTTTGCCTCATGTGGCATTAGCTCGTCGAGCTGCTGGAAATTTTGAGTACTATATGCAATTGAGGCATGCAAGTGTGCAATAAAGCGTCAGCATCAGCTTATGCCACAATTTGCTAATGAGCTTTCCCTTGACCAAAAATTTAATTCAATCCCGAACAATGCATTAATAGATGCACATGCCAAGTGGAATGGCTATGGCTTAGCACTTGAGTTTATAAAGAAAAAAACGAGTTCTTGCATTATTAATTGATGACATTTATTATTATTTAAGTGATTTCGCAACCTGCATGAATTTACGTAAGTAATTAAAATTTATTTATGACTCATTGCATGTTTCCTTCGTCATTTAACCTCTGACGTTCCAGGATCCGCTCACCGAACCCCACGACCAGCCGCAGCCCAGGACCATATCGTGTGAATGCTCTATCATTGAAGTTAATTTTCAATTTATTTTAATTTTAAAGCAACTTTAGTACAAACCTCTTTGAATCGGACGAATAAACATCCTGAAGCTGGAAATTTGACAAAAAAAATATTAAAGAGCTCTGTCTCTTTCGGACTGTTGCTAGACTGAATTCAAAAATCACAATTTGAAAGCACACATGGGCCAATGTAATTTATTTCTCTAAGGTGATTTGATTAACATATATATAAATATTTATGTGAAAAGGTTATCATATCAATATGAATATCGAACCTGTTTGAATGATCTCAATAGCCATCTCGCTTTCAGCAAATGCTATCACTCTTTCTCTCAGGGAGTAGAAATTAAGGTACCAGCCAGAAAAGCAACCAATGCGCAAACTCAAACGGATATAGCCTGGACAACAATTCAGCCTCTTACCAACACTACAGCAACTATAGAAGGCAAACATGAATTGGGAAACTTAGAAAACAGTTTCACATATTATTTGGCCACGTCCCAGGATAACAAGCGGGGGCAGTCCACTCATACTAACTCTTTAATCCCACGGATTAAGCTACAACACTACAGTTAATAAACCTTTGCTTTTTAAAATGATGGTATATTTTAGCCTTAATTTAATACAAAAGAAATGACTTTAGTATCTTTAAAACAGCTTTTTAAAATTGCCTACTTTAGCCTCAATTTATAGCATTAGATGGAGAATTTAGTTTTTTTATGTGGCTCTGCGCATCAGTTCATGTTGATCCTGGTCCAGTCTCCACTTTCTTTATTTTAACAGCCACCGCAACATCCCCCACAGCAGCCTCCACAGCATCCTCCACAACAGCTGTTACAGCAGCTGGGACCGCTCAACGACCCACATGGCCAGCCACAACCGAGGATCATGTTGTGCAGATGTTCTACACGAAAATAAATTAATCTTTTTCTAGTATATCAAATATTACCTTTCTGGACCGGACCGATGAACATTCTGCAAAATTTAATGCAATATAAATTTAAGTGTGGAACTTTTGAATATTTATATGAGACTGAAGCTATTGAACATGGAGCGGACCCAGCTCGTAAAATTGTAGACAGACTTTTCAAAGTTGACTTTATTCATTTTTTTCTGTAACAAAATTTGATATGAAAGTTTTCACTGAATAGAAAAAGTACCTTCTTGGACAGGCTATTTTTATACCCATTCACGTCCGTCCGTATGACTACTTCACCACTATTGAAGCTAGAGACTTATAATTTGCAATATATCGTCTTTATCGTACATTAATAGCCTGGCAAATCGGAAAATACACCGCAATGTACAATTACTTAACTGTTGACTGCCTTTAAAGACTAGACAACAATCATATATCCGTGAATGAATATTTGAGTTGGTAGGGCATAACTGCGATACAGGAACATGTTTAGCTTCTAAACATGTTTGGCTTTCTGAGCTGAATGTCGTTTTTCAGTTTATAATTGCCAAAACAAGTCTCCCCCAAATATTGGGATGTTCCAAATCCGTAACCAGACGGGCTCAGCTCCACTACCTAACCACCTCACATATCGCCATCACAAACGATTCCCATTGTTTGCAGACAATGTATTACAACCCAGAGTAAACTACAATATATATTCTGAGAAAAGCCTCACATTTTATTTATTTAATAACTGCAAATAATATTATTGCCAAAAGGTGTTGAGGGTGGCGTTTCTATCCTATGGAAGTCTAGGCAATAGCTGTTCATTAGTCGCGGTCCAGAAATCCCATGAGAATCGGTTTTATTATCAGCAGCAGCCACCGCAACCACCACAGCCTCCACAGCAACCACCACAGCAGCCACTACTGCATGGGCCACTGAGCGATCCACACGGCCAACCACAACCCAGGATCATCATGTGCAGATGCTCTATTTACAAGTAAAAATGTACTCATTTATTTATTTTTAAGCACAATTAAATAAATTTATATATATTAACGTACCTTTCTGAACTGGACCAATGAACATTTTTAATATTATTTGTGAATGGATTGAGATGTTGTACTTTTGAAGCAAGGCGTTGAACTGACGATATAGAAGCCAGATCGAAGCTAGGTACGAAAATTGCTGATTGTTTTTTCAAAGCTTACTATTTTTCTATAAGAGATGAAAAACGAGCCTTGCAATAGTAGAGCCTAACAAATATATTGATGGTAAATTTTGTATTCTATATAGGTGTAATTATGATTTAAGTTAGTGAATTAGAGTCTGCACCTGATTTTCCTCTCTTAATATCTGAAGCTATCATTATGATTAAATATATATTCGCTATAATATTAGCCATGCAATACTCTGGTCACATTACAGCAACAAATATTCATAATTTTTCTTATCCTGAGCCCACAATGGGTGGTATATAATAGGCAGAAGTTGGTGGGGCGCAATAAATTATAAATATTCTTGATGTATGTATGTGACCATCTCAGTGAATGCACACATACATTGATATGTTTGAAGTGTTGTGAGAGACCCAATAGTAATTGAATTGTGCTAAAGTATCAGCGGATACTTTAAATTGGATTTGCTAGAAGCAGTGAAATGGCGGTGTTGCCAAAGAGGCATGGAATGAATTGCGTGCAAGCCATTTTTAGTTTTTTTGACAAACATGCTATTTGATTGTAGATGGACGAGCTCAAATGATGCGAGACCATGTATTTTTTAGTCAACTATTCGTATAAGCTACAGTTCTTTCTATTCCAATACACACATATGTACATACATACAAATATGGGTATCAAGTTTAACTGTGCGTGTTTTGCGTTTCTATGCATAGATATACGTTATGGAGTAACATGGCGGGGTCTAGGGTATCCCTAGTTTCCTTTTTTGCTCATGTTTTTAAATTAAGAATATATTTGGAATGCAATACGGTTAATTAGTTTATAATCTAGATATTTAGATCGGGTTTTATTGTTGGTGATCCATGCATGCCAATAAATGTCGCTAAAAACCAATTGCAACGAATTACAAATATAATAAAGGGAATTAAGTCAACATTCAATTATTTTATTAATTAATTAATTTTCATCGTCTGCCTCGTAGCCCATTTCCTGTTTTAGTAGACTTTTTAGTTGATTGCTCTTGGCCACTTCGCCCCATTCTTTGATACATTTCCTACGCTTCACGGTTCTCTCAGTATACAAGTCCACACATCGCTTGCGCTTCTTCTTCATGAGGCCCCTTTCTACCTCCTCGTAGGTCCAGTAAAGCTTCACCTCTAGCGGGTACAATCGGGCATTATCGCTTTTCCGCTGTGCTGCATTCAGCTCCGGTGCGGACTGTATGCCCTCGGAGTCGCTTGACACGTAGTATTCCAGTGGGAGTGTGTCGGAGCTATCTAGGCACTCTAGAGATGCTGCGCCTTCAAGCTCATCCAGGCCCAAATTCGACATCTTGTGGAGGCATTCATTAACAGTCACATTCATTTTTTGTTATATTTAATAATTTTTTTAAGCATGAGCTTTTCAATGGAGCAAAACAAAAAATAAATGCGGAGAACTCAATAAATTTTGTTAAACGTCAAAGTGAGCAAGAGTTGCCAAGTTTCTATAAAGAGTTGTCAGATAAACGTAAAGCAGCATAACGCAAATATATCGTAAAACCTTAAAAAGTTTATTTCATTCTTAAAGTTTCGTGGAAATCGTTTTAAGTCGTCTTCGTTTTGAACTTTAAACGGATGTCCGGCTGGATTGCTTTGCTTAACCTTCGGACAATGACAAAAAGCAATCAGCTCCACTCGGTCAGGCGCTGAGCTATGCTTGGGGCGTGGCTCTGGGTGAATAGTTCATACACCCAAGCAAACGCTTCTTTGTGAACTTTCAATACGCTTGCGTTGCAATTTAAATAATGCACCAAATGAATTAAGGCAACCCAACAAATGCTTCCCACTGAGGTAGCTGGCGGCGGGGAGCTCTTGGGGGTGTGCTCATGTGAGCAAACTAAGCTAAAACAAGTATTTAAGCCAAATGGAGTAAATCCTTTCACAGCTGCCATAAAAAACGAATCATGTTAACAAAGAAATGAAATGAAGCGCAGGCAAAAAAGCCAACCAACTAAAGATGCAGACTGATTCTGAGCTCTGTTTAAAAAAAGAAGTAAATTCATTGCAGTCGGGCGCGACCGACCGAATAATACTTGTTCATGGTGCAAAATCACTAGAATTGAATCCAGAATGTATATATTTAGATATACCCCGCCTCAGTGGGTCATAATCCATGATTAATTAGGCGATTTTAGGTCTAAAACTGTGGAAACTTTTTTCCGATTTATCAAGGCGCCAATGGCTGAAGAAATATCTAAAAATACTGTACCTTTATTATTTTTTAATGCAATAATTATTTAACTTTTTTTTTTATAATTAACTGTTTTTCTCAAGACTCTTGGCTTATACTTGATCTTACCGTTTATATCTACTCACTGCCAAAAGTAAGCGATTGCTTCATGAATGCGTGGCATAACTTTGGATAAAGTTGTAAGACTCTTAGCAAGTGTATTTGAAGAAGTATTAAACTCTCTTTAGCAATAGTTGTAAGAAGGATTTCATAGAAAAGTCAGCAGACAAAACGCTTAAGCAACTGCTCAACAGAGAAAGAGGGGGCAACAGATGGAGGCGAATGGGCAGACGTGAGTGAAAGGCAACATGCGAAAACATATATATATATATATATATATATATATTTTTTTTTTTTTTTTTTTTTTTGTATATATGTGATGTATGTGTACATGTGTGTGGCCTGTGTGTCATTGATATATCGCTTGAGCACGAGTCGCTTGACTCGTCGATACAGGAAACACACGCAGACACTGAAGACGGCAATAAAAGTGGTAATGATGCGGACGAGAACGAGAGAGAGAGTGGGTGAGTGGGAAAAAAATATATCGAATCGAAATGTTATCAAATACGAAATGCTAGAAGGCAAACTAGAGATGTGGAGTAAATGTGATCCAAGATAGGAATGTCTATTGCAGCCAAGTAAAATAATATGAAAAAGACAACAACAACAACATCAACATCACAGTTGCAACTCTTTTATTATTGCAATTGGTATGCCACATTAAAATGAGGCAGCCAGCCAGCAGGATTATTTAAATACAGGAAGTGACAGGTAGGCTGCGCAGATGTGCGACATGTGTAGCCAAATTATCGCGAGAAACAGCGACCGGCAGGTAAACAAAACAAAATGTATTCCTATGCCATCTAATTAAATATGTCCGCATGTAATGAAGCAGTTTAATTTGTGCAAAAAGTAGGAAAAAGTCAAATACAAACTCTACGTGCAGTCGGAAAAGGGCTGCAGCCATAGTAGCGGCAGAAGTATGCAAACCGCTTAGAGCTTGAGGCGAGTTTTTAGCTGCGACGGCATACTTTTGTGCTGCACTGTATGTACACGGCAGTCAGGGCTCGTTAAGGGCACACGCACACACACACATACACACACATACACGCACATACACACACATATACACACACACAATCGTGTATGCACATTTGGAAAGCAGCTTCCGGCAAAATATTTCAGTTGAAAATTTTTAATGAGCTCGAAATTGTGTGCGAGGGAAAATAAAAATAGTACGCAACAGCAAATAAAATCAAATACATGCAGGGAAAAAAGTCGAATGGATTTTAATTGCTAAATACTATATAAAACATGCTGGCCAATCAATAAGGACGTGCTTTGTTCCGCACATTGCGAGCCATGCTGAAAAGCGTGTGGCACACATATATATATCTTGTTTGGGTATGTTTACAAACAATGCAAGGTAGTTGCTGCGTAAAAAACATATATTAAGTGTGATATGAAGCATACGAGGGCTTAAATAGTACACTGCCAGAAACCTTTAATAATAATTATTATATTTTATTATTATTATATTTTAAATCATAAACTAAAATAGGAAAAAGTCCAAATTATTGATTTAAAGTAAGGTGTATACGGCATCGTCTTTGATTCATTTTGATATTGTGTAAAATGAATTTTTATATTTTTTTTCACCAACCTTTTTAAGTGTAGTTGGGCCAGTTGATTAAATATATTTTGTGAGAAGTTTGTGAAGTACATTTATATAAATTTGTTAAGTAAAAAATATTCCTGCATAAGCTTAATCCTTAGTACTGCAGCAGAATGTCCTTTATACGCATAATTCTTTGCTGTGCAACATATCGTTGAATCTTTCGGCGTTTCTTTTTCCGGTGTCAATGCAATGTATGCATAAATATGGCACTTACCCTCTGCGTGTGTGGGTGGGGTGTGTGTGCTTATAAATCTCGAAAGTATAACATGGCAGCAGTCAGCAACAGAAGCAGCAGCAGCAGCAGCAGCAACAGGACCTACAGCATATAAATATACGACCTGACATACATATGTATATATCTTATATATGCACCCGGCAAATACTGACGAATCTGCCTCGTCTCCCGTCTTGTTGTTGCTGCTTTTGTGTTTTTTGTATACGTATTTATTACATATATATAAATTTTTTTTTACTGACAGCCAGGACAACACTAACAGCAGCAGCAACGGCGGCGGCAGTCAGTAAGAGCGTCTGTCTGACATTTTGTTTTAATTTTACAGATTTACTTATTTTGCACAGTTCGGTGACGACTGAAGCACTGGAACCCTCAGGCACCCATCAATGCTGCATGTTTTCAAAAGTTGTTAACGATTTTTCAAGCGAACCATTCATATATTCATAACTTACATACAGACACACACACATACGCATACATATTCACACACGCATGCAGGCACTATGTATACACAGTCCTACTAATATTTTCAAATTTATATTTTCCATATTTTGTCTCTGAGCCTGTGACACCAGCGTTAACTGCCTCGACTTGATCGAGCAGTTCATCTGTCTGTCTGAACACTCAATAAATACTACAAAATGCACATTTTCATAAATAAAAAAATTCTAAACACATTCTATGATTATTTTACTTGCTATATCAAAACTTTAAAAAATGATTTGAGAATTTTAAATTTGTCATGTTTCAATTCGAATCAATGTTTGTATTGT